CCAAAGGTCACCCGAATCGATAAATGTTAATATTTTGCTTACGCCAAGAGCAGACAAATCTTTTTCAATTTCAACAACTGGCAATAAAAGAGAAAGAAAATTTTTGTGGTATCATAACGGCTTTGTGTTACACAGTACGGAACCTTACGGTTTCGGTAGTTATCAGGGCAAAGGCCTATAATTTATCTTAGTTTGTTCGTCGTAAACATAAAATTGAGACCTATTGCGGCTGTCTTGCACTCAGACGTTCTGTGTGTATGGGAATATTTCACGGGGAAAATTGCATTCGGGGCATATGCTTTTACACGAAGACAAGTTTACACAAAAAGACTCTTAAAATGTTAGAAAAATAACGTTGCTGAGATAGAAGAAAAACCTTTTAATAATGGATGCCCAACGTATGAAGGAAACGGCCAACGTGAAACGATACATTCTCCGTGCTGAGTTAAGTGTATGACCCGCCATTCATCTCGTCTTCGCCATCATTGCTCAGATCATCTCCTCAACCGCCGACTGAATAATGTAGAGGAATCTGATTTTGCTTCCTGTGTCTAGAGGTTCGAAGGGACCGAGGGAAGGAACGATACACGGATTTAATTATAGAGAGGGTCGTACGTACTTTTATAGGATTCTAAAAGAGTTAGCTTGGATATAAAGGTATCCGAGCAAACTACAAAAGTGTCGGACAGAAAATAACTACAAAGCGATATAAAAAGAACTAACGCAAATGACAAAAACAACCAAAACAGAAACACCTTTTTTAGTCCCCAAGTATATTAGCATCATGATATCATGTGTTTAGATCTAACTATTTACTTGTATGTGTCGTGTGTTCTTTCATTATCATTATCATCAACGCTAATCTGTTTATCTGTGCGAGTGGATGTAAATATTTTGATTTATTCATTCGATCAATTTGTTAACACTAGCGCTAAACATATTTTTTCTACAAAAGTTTTGGAGGATTCACTAAAATTCTAACCTGCCAGTTTCCGTCGAAAACAATGACCTAGCGAAGCTATATAAGCATAGATTGTAAAAAAAACTGAAATAACGAAGATCATAAGTTGTCTCTTACTTCGTGTCGTTGAAAAAATTGTCCGATGAAATGACTGACTAATACTCGTTAACTGAACACATATTCTTAAAAAACAACCTCACACTGAACGAAATAACGCCTTGCAAAACAGCTTCTCGTGTGATTAATGAATTCTATTGAATCTTTGATTGCAAAACTTGGTTCTTTGACGGGTAAATTATTAAATGGGTTGGTTAATCATTTGGAAATCGTGGAAGTAGGTGCATTAATTGCACAAACAATTGAAACTATCGATTCCGCTGGGTTTGTGCAGTTTCCGCAAACAGTATAATTTTGGGACAATGGGGTTCCAAACATGGAAATTAAATTTAAGTGCACAGAAGCCGTGGTTACACATGGTTTAAATTAAATTAAAGCTGTTAAAAAAATCCTGAACCCACCATCAGTGATGATAACTAACTTACAAATTTATTGCAACTTCTTCAGACACGTTACTCTGGTAACACCCCTTCGAACGCTGCGCGTCGTGGTGTTACTAAGCAACGTACTTTTTAAAACTGTGATAACATTCTTTCATAATTATCCATGCCCTTGGGTTATTTATGTAAAGAGAAAGTGAGTCGTCTTTTCCGACGTGGAAGGGCAAACGTAGTAAAAATGAAATAACACTGATAAAAATTCATGATGAACGAGAGGAATTAGCCGACGTTTCATTATAAAAGCTCAAATAATATTCGTTTATTTATTTATGCTTGTTACTTTATCGTCACTGAATATATTTTTTGTATTTGAACTGACCACATAGCGAAAAGAGTTTTTACTAAAAGTCCATTTCATATCATCGAATCTAGAGCGACCTCACAGAAAAAGTTTATTTAGATACCAATTTCATTAAACTATGTAATTACGAGCCAACATGAACGCTTGATATCGACATATTGAAGGATAAGTAAACACAAAGGGACATCCGTTTAATCGATACATTTTTTTTAAAGGAGCCATCACACGACCTGAGGTACTACGTGTAATTATAAACTAGCAGTACCTAAGTATTGATCTAGGTATCATAGTCCACTCTTTACTTAGGTTTTCGTCGGATTTGTTAAGATTATTGGATAAATCCAGTTTAAAATCTGTCAATGTCTGATACGAGTCGAAAGTTGTAGGAAAAGGAAGTGGCACCCGAGGTGGGTACATTTGCATGTAAATTGAATAAAGAGGAGCGAGTTGGATTCACCGAGACAAACGAGACGGCGTCGTGACGAACACCAGATTTCTAGACAGAAATATGATGAATCGAAATCCAAACGTACACTGATGCTCATATCTATGTTAATAAATCCAGACGAGGGACTTTGACAGGATTAGTCCTCTGCGAGGATCGCAGTCCCAGCCATAATTCCGCGACCTTCTCCCTTAAGAGTTCCTCGAATTAGTCCCATCTCTTGTTGCAAGGATTGCAAGTTCTAGACACAGTCTGACAGACGATCCGGATAACTTGAAACTCTAAATCATACCAAGTAATTCAAATCATCGTTTTCTCTCTTACCGAACGCTCCGAGAACACGTCAGAATAAATAAATGCAAGAAGAATTTGTCAGACGACAAATGGACGGAGCGAGCATTCCACGCATAAGCAGGCAAATTCCAGGTGGAAAATTCAAAAACAATCCGGTCCGTGATTTTATTACTTCATAAAGCTTTGCCTTTTTCATGCATTGTGAAAGATACGCAGTCAAAGCAGCAGAAACATTAAATTTAATTTGAAGTAAAATTCGAGTCGGGGACGGCGTAAGGGTTTGCGTTTCGTAAAGTGAATTTTAAACGGCAATACGGTCCACTAAACATTTGGAACAATGATCAACCAACGGTTTGGATGTGTTAACACGGTCTCCATATATGCGTTAAACACGGGACAGACACAATATGCGATAAAAGCGAGGTGCGTATGCCGTTTTTGGACCGAGAGTTCGAACTAATCGACCGTAAACCGTGAGAGGAAATCAATACTCGACAAAGTGATTACATATAATGTTGCACTATAAAGAGATAAATCACTACGTTTCGCTGCTTTTTCTTACGAGGTGCCGGGAGATTTTAGAGACCAAATTACCTCGATAAATTTTTTAAACAATAAATTGTTACATTGAATTAAAATCACATCTGAATTTCTTAAATATCACTCCGGCTATAAATCTGAATATATTCTATGAAATATTGTTACAACCTAAATCAAAGCGGCCGCTGCATCCCTTAAAAGAGATCTGGTTCTATCTCTCTCTCTTATATCCAGTCACATAATTTATGTCGCGCAAGTAGGGCTTAACGTGTTTAGATTTTTCTTTTTTGATTTCTACAACATTTATTTTCGGTAAAAACCAACCACTGTTCTAATCGTGTGTTAAAATTTACCTTATTTTCAGCTTTGAGAGTTCTTTTTTTTTTTAATTACCGATGACATTTAGAGTTCGTAATTTTTGACGTTTTGGGCGGTGATTGACCAATTGACTCATTGGACGAGCCGCCACTGTACATAATATTTATATTGTTACGAAAGAAACCTATATGCCGGCCGGGTACGATGTCTATGGGTTCTGGTATGTATGGCTATAATGACTCATTGTCGATGACGGCGGTCGAGCGGCGTTCGATAAAGAAAAGCCTGGAAGCGGAAGTCGTGAAATTGTTAAGTTTTACCCACGCCGATTTTAAAAACCCGTTCAACGCAACAATATATTCAACTATGAGAAGCACATGCACGTGCATAGCAAAGCTTCTGTGTCAAGGTGGATTCTAAATCGTATTTACCACGCTCTTTTTAATTAATTCTTTATACTCAGTTGAATCTAGTCTTAATTGAAATTGATACCTAGTACAAAATTATAAAGTTAATTTGTTTAAGGGGAGTGTAAAGTCATTCGTTTTCATTAGTGTCACAAGTTTACCACAATGTCTATAAATGTTAATTAACGAGAATTACGTTACAGGTGGGATTTGGTTCAATGTTTTAAATTTACAATTATTAGAAAATTCCTTTATTTTATTTATATAATTATCTCTTTTTTCGGATTTGAGCTTTCACATTACGAAATGATGAGGGTTCTTTAAAAAAATCATACAGTTTCAAAACAGCTAATTAATTTCCAATTATTCTTGTTGCCGTATTTATTATCCATAGTATTAAAATTATCCCACACGGGGATCAATAAATGTGTCTTAAAATAACCAGATTTTTGAATTAGACGTTCCTTCGACGTCATCATTAGTTTCATTATTATTATTATTATTGTTAATGTCTTCCAAGTTAGTCCTTCAATAAACAACATTTTTACATAGTCAGTAAACTACTACAACTTATAATTTCAAAGCAGTTTTAGAGGCAAAAGGAATTAACCTCTTCATAAATGTCAACTGGAAGACCCTTGAAGGTAATTTCCGCCAGAGTTCACATATACTCGACAAAATAGATTTAGAAAAGGTTCAGCCAAATTCCAAAGTAACGTTAAATTGTTCACCAAGCAAGAAAAATTTCATCTAAAAGTATTAATTAACTCAAATGGAGTAATATTGATACATATAACGTTTCTTTATTTTTGCGTCCTTTATGAGAAATTCATTAAAACGCAATAACGTGAAGATTCATAGACGCAACTACATGCCGCATACTGCGCCTCTGTCCGTCCAAACAGCATAAAATGTCATTTGTTTGCAAAATCCGGAAAACTGCAAACTCATGTAACTCGAATTCAAAATTAACCGGACATGAAACGAAATATGCGCTTTCGAATGAGTTCTCTAATTGCGTTTGCTGCTTTATATTCCAATCTGTTCCGAGAGAAACTATAACAGTAAGTTAGCTAATTACACATTTCTGTGAATGTTGAGATATATTTCAAATAATTATTTGTTCATAGTCGAGTAGGTAGAGGAAATGACATTAGTTTGACTGACTTACAACTGAGTGTCATTACATTACTGAAAAATTATGGGATTTTTGAAATGTGCCTCAAAATATTCGAAACAGATAATATACTGTTGTTACTCAATTCTGATGGTAGGCTATTTTTGAGTGAGTGAACTAATTAATCAGTTTGTAGCTGTATGGTGCAGGGATTTTGATATGGGGACTAGTGGACGAAGAGGTTGATTCTGACTTTGTAACCCACACGATAAGACTTAGCACTGGTGTCATATCTGTGGTAAACGCAGCATTAGGGCTATATGGAACTGGATATGGTGAGAAATGTCTGGTGTATCTAGTACGGTAAAAAGCCTCACCCATATTTTAATTAGAACAGTATTTTTAGTCAATTTGTTTACTATTTGTGACTTGTATTGTGCAAATTCTTGCCATAATTGTTCGCATTACTTTGCCTTATGAGGAGTCGACGGAGCGTAAAGCAGAACTGCAGACATTGTTTGATGAAGAAGAAGACAAATATGCACAACGCTTTCAAAAGATAGAACTAAAGGTAGTGTACACTTAACAATAAATAAGTTCTACGTTTTCACGTAGTTGCAGTGCTGTGGAGTCAACAGCTACAATGACTACGAGGAGAAATTCGATCCCCTTTTACTTGGATACCCTCCAAGTTGTTGCGGTTTTAGCACAAACACAAAATGTACAAAACCCTTCGAAATTGGGTGTCATCAAAAACTTCAAGAAGCTCGAGAATACCACGAATTAGTACGTGCGATCATTTTCTTAGTTTCTTCTTTCCTCAAAGTAAGCTCTGAAGCAGTTCTGTGTTCATACGATTAATTAGTGGTTATAGTACGTCAGTGCTCTTGTGATTGCCATATTAACTATATGGGGTGACGATCTCGTATGAAACTTCCAACAAATAAAACAAAAAGGACACATCTTTAATTGCTGACTGATTACGTAAAATATCAGAAAAGAGGCGAGCAATATTCGTGAATTATGAATTTTGTTTAAGTCTGCTCGATATTGCGTTGAATCCCCAAACAATTAAACTCATATAAATGCAAATCCCTCTAATGAAATGAAGCCCTAGAGAACTTTCCGCCTTTTTCTCTGGAGTCCTCCCAAAAAAAAGCAAACAAGAAAACTATGAATTCGACGATCGTCACTCTGTCAACATTTCGCCGGTTATTACTGTTCGAGTTGAATGTACACTTTCTTTCTCAATTCGTGTAATTGCCACAGGAAAAACAAACGTCGTTCAGGTTAGAAATACGCGTGAATAGGGCGTGATTACGTCACGATAGGTTAGGTTATGTGTTGTGGAAGCGGGAGTGGTTCAGGAACAAACACACTTAATGAACGTCACAAAATATCATTAAGTTGCCACCGGAATACGACCGTAAACATTATACTTCTAGATGGGGATTTATTAACTTAAGGACAATATTGTCTTAGGGGTGTCTAATGAGGGTATAGGCAAAATACGACGCTATCACATTAACGTCGGCCAATAACTCAAACTCGACCCTCGATAAACCGTTAAATTTTAGATCCTCTCGACAAAAACAAGGTCTCGGATAATACGACGTTATTGACACGAAATTGCAGCGGTTAACAACCGAACAAACTTTCGAACAAACTTTCATGGACCAAATTATGGTACAAAGGCGGAAAGAGCAAAGCGAATTAACCTCGGTGCAGATCTTACAAACAATAAAGTAAAAACGTAAGAGATGAAAAACGGCGATAAAATCATTTTTTGAACCCAGCTTAAGCGTGCAACGCGTCCTGATCGCACTCAAATTTTACATTAACGTCGTTGCAAGTTTTAATTTAGTCAATGTACGTAGGTTAGTTAACGAGATATCATGCCGTTTTAATACAGTCTGGCAGATATAAAATATATTACATAAAATTTTAATTCCTGCTGTGCCCGAGTTTAAACGTTTACAGTCCTCTCACTCAAATTACAGTTACTATGTAGTAAAAACATTAATGCGCTGAATTAATTTGACCACTGTAAACCCTAAACCACAAACTAGCGGGTTTTGTACCGGTGGATGACCTGAAACTTTCTGGGCTTATCGAAATTGAGAGCAAATCTGTTGATAGAGTCAACAAGTACATTTAAGACCTGCGCTGAGTTCAAAGACGCCGAAAAGGGAAAGCACAGAATAGTGAGCACTTAATGCCTATACAACCCCATCTCGGCTGATAAAGCAAGCGCCATTAATCCAGGCATTCTTTATTATTTCTGTGTCGTTGGCTTTTTTCCTGTCATATTATCTTTTATGTTCTAATTGCGACGGTTGCTTCAAAGGCCTTCTCGGCTAGTTTACATTCAGCTCTCGTTCGCTAATTGCTGCTATGGTAATGACTGAACCCTAACTTATGCAAACTTTAAAGGGGGTGGTGAAAGTTCTGGCACGTTTAAAATAAAGCTGTGAATGAGTCGGGGAGGTGGATTTTCGTGTAAAGGTGATTACAAGGCCAATTCAAGTCGCAGGTGATTAGGAAAGTTGAAGCTAAACACATTTTAAATATTCAAGAAATGAAAGCGATGTGTTTTACGAGCGTACTGATGCATTTAATAATTCAGTAACCGTGATGGAATTAATCGAATTTGAAAAATTACATACTCCGCTATTCCATTTCGAATATACGTTATCATTTAGTTTTATCGAAATATAAATTTACGTTTATTTGAGTGTGGGTTACGTTCTATTTTGTATTCGTTTCAGCAGTAATCCCATTAATTTATGGATGGATTTTAAATTTAAGCAAAAATATGGTTCGCTTGCTCTCTGGTTCTTGATTTAATTAGTTACCACCAAGCAGAGTGTGAATGCGAAAAACGAACTAATTAGCACAGGTAAGCTCCGAGTAATTGGGAAAATTCAATTTAAAGATTTCGTGTAAACAGAGTTTTCGTAAATTCGCACTTCTTTTTACCTAAGCGGTCAAACCCGTTTTCACTAAGGAGCTTTGTTGATGAAATTTCGTTTGTAACTGGTTGTCGTAATAACCAATTAGTGTAATGAGCTTACTTCTGACGCAAGCCAATAAATAAAAACGAAATATTAAAATTTGGAACTTGACATGACAATTTTCAGCTAGAAACCGAGTTTAAGGCCTGTTATTTTCGAAAAGAACACGACTTTCACCAAAATTGCATCTTTTTACTTCCCGAGCGTAAGCAAAGGAAGTATTGTAATCGAGTCCGTCGGCCGACTCTCTACTTTTACGTTTTCTCGATCCTTCATGACCCCTAGAAGACGAAGAAATAGGTCTCCCATTTCCGTCTGTCTGTCCGTCTGTCCGTCTGTCCGTCCGTCTGTCCGTCTGTCCGTCTGTCCGTCTGTCCGTCTGTCCGTCTGTCCGTCTGCCGTCCCGGATTTTTATTAGACAGATAATCTCCGAAAGTACTGGACCGATTGTTGTGAAATTTTGTAGTTATATTAAGAATATCATGTAGATGGTAAAACGCTAACCAAAATTTGTCTAATCATCCCCACCACTAATGCGATGACGTCACTTCAAAATTGTACATAGTAAATGGGTTTTCAATTGCATAAAATAACATAGTCCTATACATGTAGTTTACAACTCTGAATCGACTTTTCACCCGAAACGTCCAGATTTTTGGAAAAAAAATCAAAATTATAAAACAACATTTTGAAATTTAATTTTTAATCTGCTAACCAGAATGCTTTGAAATGTTGCAGATGTTTTAAGGCTATAAAGAGCATCATAAATCTTTAGTCAAAAAATATTTGCTTATCCCCTCCAAAAACTTGATGACGTCAGCTCAAAAGTTTGTGGAATAAATCATATCTAAAATGTACAAAATATGATGAGCCTGTACTTGTGATCTATCACTCCATTCATATTTTTTGGATTTGCATATACAGGGAGACTCAAAAAAATTAATGAATGCGTAAATATATTTTATTGATTTAATCAGGAACTACAAAACCGAATGCTCTGAAATCTTGCAGATGTTTTAAGGTCATAAAGAGCATAATAAATGTTTAGTCAAAATATATTTGCTTATCCCCTCCAAAAACTTGATGACGTCAGCTCGAAAGTTTGCCGAATAAATCATATCTAAAATGTACAAAATATGATGAGGCTGTACTTGTCATTTATCACTCCATTCATATTTTTTGGATTTGCATATACAGAGTGACTCAAAAAAATTAATGAATGCGTAAATATATTTTATTGATTTAATCAGGAACTACAAAACGGAATGCTCTGACATCTTGCAGATGTTTTAAGGTTATAAAGAGCATAATAAATGTTTAGTCAAAATATATTTGCTTATCCCCTCCAAAAACTTGATGACGTCAGCTCAAAAATTTGCCGAATAAATCATATCTAAAATGTACAAAATATGATCAGTCTGTACTTGTGATCTATCACTCCATTCATATTTTTTGGATTTGCATATACAGGGTGATTCAAGAAAATAAATGAAAGCGTAAATTTATTTTACTGATTTACTCAGGAACTACAAAACCGAATGCTTCGAAATCTTGAAGATATTTTAAAATTATCATAAGCATGGTAAATTTTTGATCAAAACGTATTTGGTCGTCCCCCCTAAAAAATTTATGACGTCACCACAAAATTTTGCTGAATAAATCCTATCTAAAATGTACAAAATATGGCGAGTCTCTTCTTGTGATTTATCATTCCATTCAAATTTTTTCGATTTGCATATACAGGGTGACTCAAAAAAATTAATGAATGCGTAAATTTATTTTATTGATTTAATCAGGAACTACAAAACCGAATGCTTTGAAATCTTGCAGATGTTTTAAGGTTATAAAGAGCATAATAAATTTTTAGTCACAATATATTTGGTTATCTTCTAGAAAAAACTGATGACGTCAGCTCAAAAGTTTGCCGAATAAATCGTATCTAAAATGTACAAAATATGATGAGTCTGTACTTGTGATTTATCATTCCATTCATATTTTTGGATTTGCATATGCAGGGTGACTCAAAAAAATTAATGAAGGCGTGAATTTATTTTATCGATTTAATCAGTAATTACAAAACCGAATGCTTTGAAATCTTTTGAAAATTTTAAAGTTATTATAAGCATGGTAAACTTTTGTTCAAAATGTATTTGTTCATCCCTCCTAAAAAAATTGAAGACGTCACCCTTAAATTTTGCTGAATAAATCCTATCTAAAATGCAAAAAATATGATGAGTTTGTACTTGTGATTTATCATTCCATTCATATTTTTTAGATTTTCTTAAGAGGTGGTTCAAAAAAATTAATGAAGTCAATTTATTTTATTGATTAAATTAAAGGCAACACTTATTATTAGTATTACACCTCAACCAACCCAATTTGGTAGACACAAAATTTGTTAAAGGAAAAACTCGGTTCAAACATAAGGGTAGCACGCTTATTTACATCGACTTTAACATTACAGACCTGCATTTGTTTTATGCGCTCACTTGGTTCCGCGAATGTGAAATAGACATGTTTATAATCAACCAATTGTAAATTTCACCGTCAAGAATTAAAATAAAACCCAATGTTTTATATAATAAGCGGAAGTCGAAGCAATAAAACCGATGGTCGTTTTGTTTACAGTTTCTCTGTTTGACTCTCACGTATGCTGTTACGCCTGTCATCTTAAATTAAGAATGTTTATACATACACGATTTTCAGTTGCCTCTGATACGTATACGTGAGTAATTTGTTTCGTTATTTTATTGATTATTACAAATCAATATTCAAAACGACCCAATTCATTTTCCCGAAAATTTGAGAATATAATAATTTTATTCTTAGTATTACACTACATCTATCCCAACTGATATACGTGTCCTTGCAAAAATGTTGATGACGTCATCGCAATTTTTTTTAAATTCCCACTACAAAAATGTAATGAGAAAAAAAACACAATA